GTATTTATGAGAAAATGGTGTTTGGGGGCAGAACTGTTCAATCACTGAAGGCTGCAGATGGGATTTTTCTTAGTAAAATGACGGGAGACTGAGCTCTTCTCAGTTATAGAATTGTCAGCTTTAGAACATTCTTATCTCTTCACTTTGTGACTCTTCCAAGTTGCTCAGTGGTTAAAGTAAAAAACATTTTAGTGTGTGCTTAATGAGGTGGCCAGGGAAGGAAGATTTTCATTTAACAAAAAATCTTGAGATGTCATCACTTGGTTAGTTTAGCATTAGGCTAAAACCCACTTTCTTGGATCTGCACCCACCCAAACATGGGGTAAGCCTCTGCGATCTGACCCCGTGCTCCCATGGCCAGATCCTGCACTATGCTAACTATGCTATTGGTAATTTGAGGGTAGGCATCTTGTTTTCACCAACAAATCCATCTTGGACTTAAGAAACGTGCCTAATGAAAGCTTCATTAAAATCAATGTATTTCAGCAAAAAGTATTGGGTTTTAATGGCTTTGGCCAAAACATGTTGCCAAAAAATTAGCTGAAGTGCTTTGCTAAATAGGATGGGTTTGCTGAACTGAGGGCATAGATGCTTTCTAATTTCTAAGTATGAATAGCATTTGTGTACGTTCAGAATGTTTAAAAATCCCCTGTGTGCAAAATACAATTATTTTCTTTGGGAAAAGATACCTGTAAGCATTCAGATGTCAGTTCTACTTTCTTTAAAAAAAATTAACCATCAAGGAAACTTTTCAATCCCCATACACAATTATGAATTCTATATGGTGCTGAAATTTCGAATACTTCTGCTTTAAACAATATTCTCTTTTGCTTTCAGTACAAATCTGTACTTGGTTTATTTTTTTGCCAGGGCTTTTCAAAGTGAAGACCTTTAGCAGACAAAATTTTAACAAGATAGACATTTAGTTCAATAGAAGAATTTTCTTGGTGTGAAAAATAAATTACTAGAAGGGCTGTGCTTCTAAAAGATAATTAATAAAATCCTTCTGTCAGATGACAAACTTGACATCTTGTATAATGTCTGGAAGAGAAGAAAGTGGTTGGTATTGCACAGCTAGAATAAAATGTTCCATTTCACAACAAGGCCAGGCCTACATCTTATAATTATTTCAAAGGGAGTAAAGGTCACATTCTGTTTGCTAAGTTGTCATTACATGAGTCCTATATACTAGATTTTCAGAAGTGAATTCATGGCATATTTAGAGCATCCTGATTTCATAGCAAACTGGAGTGGTCTGGAGTTACTAACCTACATGATGTCCAAATCAGTCCTTATGCTCTGCAAAGCTATAGACAAGAGTTCAAAATTTCAGATGCTGGGTGATCAAGCTGTAATTTGCTGTCTCTTACTTCCGCTGCCATTGTAATTTTTAGCTGCAAAGTCATGGGTATAATTAATTTTATCTTTTGGCGTTGAAATGCATGATTTTATGGGCTATTCTGTGAAACTGGGCAAGTTTTGCAGCAGTGTGTTGTTCACTATTTCTGTCTTGACCCAGGAATATAGGAAGGAGTGGTACATTTTATTCAGCAGTAATTGACACTATGTGCAAACCCATTGGTTGGAATAATGTGTCAAGGCGGCCTAATCTTTAAAAATACACTTGCAACTCTGCAGAAAATGAACATGCAAATTCATCAGATCAACATTCTCTGAACATCATCGGCCACGATCAAACCTATGACTTCTGCTGCTTAATGCACAAGATGCTACTGCACGAGCTAAAAGGCTGTAGCAGACTCATCAGTCTCCAGCTGGTCTAGGTGCTTTCAGGTGTGACACTTTGTCCCCATCAAGGGTACGTCTACACTGCACGGCTATTTTGAAATTAGTTATTCTGAAATAGCTTATTTGAAATAACATGTCTACACTGCAGGGAAGCCTCAAAATTAGTCTGAGGCAGGCTTTCCTAATGTGAACGTGCTATCTTGATTTAGAGCCCCAACGAGCACTGGGGAGGAATAACTTAGAATGTCCCTGGTGAGGGGCTATTTTGACATAGCAGCAGTGGAGCATCTACACACGCCTTATTTCAAAATAGCTCTTTCGGAATAGGCATTATTCCTCATAGAATTAGGTTTACAGATTTTGGAATAAACCACTTGTTATTTCGAAATTATTTTGAAATAATGGAATGGCTATGTAGATGCTCTCATGGTTATTTCGAAATAATGCTAGTTCTCAAAATAACAGTGCAGTGGAGTCGCACCCCAAGCTGGCTTGGGTTACATGCTTCGTTTTCATGCACCCTTACTGTGGCTTTGCATTCAGATGGAACACTTGCACAATTGCTATCTTGCCACTTCTGTGCATTACACTTTGCAATTTTGAGTGTAGGCTTTGAAAATCAGGACTTTACTGTGTGTGTGCTTGGCACAGAGGGACAATAAAGGGTAGAGTGAAAAATTGGTGCAGGTCTTTTAAAATCAGTAGCACTATGCTACTATACACCTGTGGAGCTGGTCATTTGTAGGTTGCTATTTATTTAGAGAAGACAGGGAAGCAGCAGTAGCATGGGACACAGGCAAAGCGACTCAGACTCTGCTTGCTTGTATTCCCTGTTTCTCTTTCCTTGAACAAGGGGGCATGTGTAGTGCAGGTCATCAAGAATGAGAACCGTGCCCATCTGCCACGTTTGCCTGCTGCCAACTGGATTGTCACAAAACAGTCTGGCCATGGCACACAGTGTCTGCTCGTGTCTAGCTGGCCTTTTACAGCAAGTGCTTGTGTGAAATAGGTGGCCCAAGAAGCCGTTTCAATACGAGCAACTGATCTAAGACCAGGTGGGATACTGTCTTCTCTGTGCCTCGAAAGACTGGGTAATATAAAGCCCACAATGCCTCTGCAGTGCAGCAGGGTTTTCTGTATGGAAAGAAAGCCGGGGTAGCATTCTGATCCATTGACAAGAGCAGACAAGGGATAGCTAAGCAGGGAGCCTAAGACTGAACATAATAGTCACTTGTCCTTGGAACAGAGAAATATGGCAAAGAGGGTTATCGTACAATGGTAGCATTGAAGGTGCTATGCTGGACGACCCTGTTCTTATACTCCCTATGGAGGAGGCGAATATGCTGGAATAGCATTACAGCTCTGAAAATGATTAACTCTTTTCCCATTGGCAGCGCAAGCACTGTAGGTAGCTATTGAGTATAGGGAATCTTTTAAGTGGGCATTGTATATGAACCTTTGCCTGTTTGTACTAACAGAAGCCAAACATGCTTTCTTTGATTACTTTCTCATCCTTACTCTGGTCTTACTTGGGGTGTCCAACTGGAGACATTTTGGGCATTGGTTTTAAACTAATGAGAGCTGTAAGTTCTCTGAATCACTGAATATGAGGATGAGTAGAAAATTCTCCTCCCGCCCCCCAATGAGTCACCAAAACAAGAACATGCATATAAACATTTGGATGCTTATATTTGGGTACAGAAAAGTAAATGTATTCTCCTCATGACCTTGGATCTGACTCTCTTCTCTTTTTGTGCTTCATTTAATCATTACATTTCTTGTGCTTTTTCCCCCCCCCTCTTCACTCTGAGACTTTCCTAGCTGTTTCCCTGCCATTGAAAGCCCACCAAGGAAAATAGTCTTTTAGCTTGTTGTCTCTATCCAGTGATAGGATACAAATCTTCAGAAACACAGATTGGCCTTGTACCGAGAACCCAATCAATTTTATTTTGCTTTTAACCTACCTCCCTTACCCAGATGTTCCCATGATGACAGGGTGCTTTGGCGATCACATACTAACAGTGACACAAGCGGTATTTAACTTTAACCTTCCGATCCACCTCCAGAAGGATGTGCACATTCCATTTTCAATCTTCCACTGGGGTAAACAACCTTTTGATTATGGGGGAACAAAAAAAGTAGCTTTGTGGGGGTGGAGAACTGACATTTTCCATCTGCTGCTAGAGTTTATGCAAAAGGAAACTTTTGGGACATGAAATTTTGCCCTTGGGCAAAGGACATCTTCACTAGCTTAGAGATTTACTAAACTAACCTAAGCTTATAGGTCTTGATTCAACCAACCGTTTAAGCATATTCCAGCCCTGTTTATACATGCTTATGCCCCATGACTTCAGAAGAACTTAAGAACATGTTCAACTTTAAGCATGTGCTGAAGTGCTTTTCTGAATTGAACGTTATGAACCCATCGGGTATATCTGCACAATATGGGCTGGGGAAACGAGGATGGAGGCTGCGTGCCTATATATGTATCTCAGCAGTTGAACAATTTTGCACTCCACTGGCTAGCTCATGCAGCACTGCTGTTTTCAGTATCCTGGCTTGAGAAGTGCTAGTGTCTCTTTGTCTATCCAAACAGGGAATTACTCCTTACGCTACTATGTGAGCACAAAGAAGAGTCGTGTACCACCTTAAAGACTAACAGATTTATTTGGTCATATGCTTTTGTGGGTAAAGCCCACTTCAACAGATGCATTGAAGTGGATGGATTTCCACTTCATTCAGTTGAATTCAGTGCCTTGCATGATGACTAGTCTCAGAGGGGTAGCTGTTAGTCTGTATCTGCAAAAACAACGAGTCCTCTGTCACCTTAAAGACTAACAGATTTTTAGGGCATAAGCTTTCTTCGCGTAAAAACCCATTTCATTGCTCCAGTGCCTCTGACAAAGTGGGTTTTTAACCATGGAAGCTTATGCCCAAATACATCAGTTAGTTTTTAAGGTGCTGCAGCACTTTTGCAGAGAGACTGATATGGTTACTCCTCTGAGATTTACCACAGGGTAGAGAGAGCCTTAAACCAACTATTTTTGCAACCCCGATACCTTCCTGTGTTTGTCAATTGAAATCTCTTATACAAAACAATGGTTAGCTAGTTTTAAAGGGAAGCTGTGATGTGCTGGATGTGTGCGTGTATGTTTTAAATGAAAATCCAAACGTACTACTTGCTATTCACAAAAGCCAAGAAGCTTAGTGAGCAAGTGGATATTGAAAGTCTGTTCCCTTTGTTTCCTCAGGTGCTGCTGATTGTATTTGCAGAAGATTTAGAATGCATCCCTGGATTCCAGCAAAAGGTTTTTCATATTGAACAGCCATCTGAATTCACAGAGGACCAGCCAATACTGAACTGTAAGAAATGTCACTGTCATATGTCATTTTTGCAAAAGTCTGTATTACCCAGTCTGTGTGTTTTCATATCACACCCTCAATTTTTCAGAGAGCTCTTCCTCCGTATGATATGATTTCAGACAACTTCCATCTGGATACTACAATAGCTTTCTCTCTCCCTGCTTAAAATCCTTTATTTACACAGATTTTGAACTTAGCTGTGAATTAGGATTGGCAAAATTATGTATAGTTATCTGGTGGGTTTTCAATATTCATATGGAGGTTGCTTTTCTGAGTAAGTCACTTGCCTGTATTTCTTACCCTTTCTTGCTGTATTATTACTTAACTGCACACAAGGCTCTTTGACTTGCATTTCCCCCGGTGCATCTGTCTCTGTGGCCTGACCCAATGCCCACTGAATCAATGAGAATCTTTCTATAAAGTTTAGCAGGTTTTAGACCAGTGAAATCACTGGTTTTTGAAAGTTATTCTTATTCAGAGGCATAGCGAGGGTGACAAAGGCAAAATTTTCCCACTGGCGCACGGCTGAGCCTGACCCTGGGAGGAGGGTGGGGAGCTTGTTTTCCTCCACCCCCTCCAGTTTAGGGCCAGGCCCCCGCAAGCATTAACCCGCTAGTGGAAATGGAGGGGAGTCAGGCTGTGGGCGGAGAGGAGGCTTCAGCCAGTGGCGGTAGGCAAAGGAGGAGCTGGTGAGCTGAGGGATGACTGAGGGACTGGAAGGGGACTAAATTGGCAACTCCCTAATGTGGCGCCCGGGAGCAACTGCTCCCTCCCCTCTCCCCCACTGTCCCCTCACTACACCACTGTTACTATTGCTTTTGTGATCTAAGCCTTGTGATCAGGTGATCCTGTCCCTTTTCCAAGGGACAGATGTCCATATCACAAAAACTACAGCATTGATTCTTGGCACCATATGCGGTAAGCAGACAGGCCAAAGATTGAATGGGCTGTGGGGATTTAACTTCTCTTTCAACAGTAGACTTTGTATTTCCAGGTACATTAACGATGCAATGTTGCATATCTTGCACTGCTATTGTTCATTATGTATTGGGACCTGTTGTGAGGATATGAGACTTCAGGGCTGTCAATTGAGTATGGTATCTAACATGAGTTTTTAATACTGATCATTTTCAAAAGAAATTTCAACAGAGGTAGTAATAAACAGCATTTTTTTCACATTTTCCACATTATTAGTGGCTTTTTTATTTCCTTTTCTTTTGATCACAGTTTGCTCAACAGCTGAAATTAGTATTTATGTGGCCAGAGTCAGAGTTTGGATCAAAAATAGGAAGCAACAAAATTCAGTTTAAAGAATACCTTTTCACTCTCCATCCACTCACTTAAGAGTATATTGTGAGTAAAGATGTTTGCTCTATTTTGCAGTTTATATGAAACTTCAGATGCACCTATCACAATTGTGTGTTGATTGTGTCCAATATTTTCAAACTTGAAAGACCAAAATTTGTCATTGGGGCCAACTGAAATCAAAGGAAAGACTCCTATTCATGTCACTGAGTTTCGGACTGGGCTCTACAATCCAGGTTAAGGGTCAACTTTAGTTTCCAAAAGCGACTTAGGCAATACATTACAATGACTTTCAATGTGATTTAGACTTCTAAGTGCCTATTTTGAAGCTGGAATTTAGTCTCATAAGTTATGGAGGGATTTTTGAAAATGTTGCCATTACGTACCAAAAGGAGTTGTTAGATTTTCAGTGGTGCTGAGCACCTTTTGGCTTTGAGAGAGCTCAGGTGTTTGCTTTGTTTAAAAAGACCAGCAATTTGTTGAACAAACATAGCAGCTAAACAGCTGGGGGTTTCACAACCTCAAAGGATAAAAATATTTGCATGTTAAAATTTGGTTAAATGCAAATGACCTTTATTGTCTGTCATGTTGGCAGTATCTGATTATGTTGGTGCCTTAGCACATCCGTCCAAATCTCTTGCTGATTTGTCCTCCGTTTGTTCAGCAGTATAAAGGGCAAACTGCTTAAGACATTGTTGATTGGACTACATTGTGGTGACCCAGAAAATTGCACTGGTGTGAAACTGACACAATAATGAAGACATTATTAATTTTAAGAGGGGGGAAAAACAGAAGGGAAAATATCTCAAAACAATCTTGGGAATTAAATTATTTTAATAATCAGACACTCAGTTGGCCCGATACATAATATGCAACAAAGCCAGACGGTCAATGCTCAAGTCTAGCTAATTCAATAACTCTGAAGTAATGTGTCCTGCATGTGATAATATTAAACCTGTGGATAGTCTTTTCAGTCTTGTCTTCAGTAGAATCAATATTTTTAATTGTGCCTGTTTAAATACACTTTGCATGCTGTTGCATTATTTTTACACCCATTCCTCAACAGCAATATAATTTAACAGTTGCATCTGAATGTGAGGCCTACCATGAGTATGCAAATTAATAGAGCCAGTATGCAAAGCAGGTCTATAACGGTGATTGCTTTTGTAGTCTTCAATAAACCAAGCAGCTTTTAATTCTCCACTGAAGAGCAAGGAAACAATCATATTTGGGTTTTTTGATCTTTTTAATTTCAACAAGAACATACTGTATATTCCATTGCCCATGGTTCCTGCAGTAATTAAGTATGGGTTATGGTTGTTTCTTATGTATTTACTAGTTGGCCATAAATGCAGCTGTATTCATTATAAATGAAACTTATTGAAAAAAAGAGACCAAAGCTAAAGGCATTTATTTCTTTTTTATTTGCATGCGTTCTGGCAATAAAAAAAGTTATTTCACATACTCAGCAAACTTTTAAATACCTTCAGCTAAGAAATACTATCAACTGAAGCACAGGACTTCAAAGAATATAATATACAATAAAAGAACTGCAGCAGCTTTTAACCTACATTGTAACTATTTTAGGAGGTCGACGAAGGAAAGTATATTTATATATGGAATTCATAAAAGATGAACCAAGGACAAATGAAAATCAACAAGGATTAGAGAGATCAACAGAGTTGGGAAAGGAGATTTAGGGTCGTATGACAGTTAATCTAAGTAACCCCCCTCTAGCCTTAGAACTTATTATGAATGCCACAAAAATAGTGTTCAGAAAATACTCTACTCCAAGCAGGGGCGCCATTTCAGATTTTGGGGAGGGGGTAACCATGCAGCAATTTGTGTGTGTGGTGGGGAGACAAGTGACAGCATAGGGGGAAGGCTTAGGACAGTGGCTTCAGCAGTGCTACTGAAAATGCTCAGTATAAGCCAAGCCCCAAAACAGAGATGGGAGAGACCAACCCTATCTTCACCTGACACACCCATCCCCTCTTTCCAGGGGCTAGTAAGCTATTTGAAAACTCTTGGTTTTTTTTGACAAAAAACTTGACTGACAGGAGCACTCTATCTAATTCCTATATAAAAGAAAGAACATTAAATAAAGAGCTATAACATGTTTTTGGCATTTTGTGGCAAGTCCCTTATGGGACATTGGTTAGGCTTACATTTATAATGTATACTCTTACTTTGTTACAAACTCTGTGGAGAGAGAAAGAGAGAGATACTATAAAGATGCCTGGGCTCTATATCAGCATCCATTGGTTACAATAGGAGGCAGATACATCTGGGTTTTATATAAGAATGTCAGATTGGCCATACTGGATCAGACCCATGGTCCATCTAGCTCAGTATCTTGTCTTCCAATAGTGGCCAATGCCAGCTGCTTCAGAAGTAATGAACGTAAGAGGCATTCACCAACTGATGTCACCTGTTTCCCAGCTTCTGGAAAAGAGAAGCCAAGGACACCATCCTTGTCCATTGTAGCTGTTAGCCATTGATGGACCTATCCTCCTTGAATTTACTTGATTCTTGTTGGAACCCTTTTATAGTTTGGGCCCTCACACTGTCCTCTGGCAAAGAGTTCCTCAGATTAACTGTAAAAAAATATTTTCTTTTGTTTGTTTTAAATCTGCTGCCTATAAACGTAATTGAGTGACCTTTTTGTGTTATCTTAGTGAAGGAGCAAATAACATTTCTTTATTCAATTTTTCCACACCATTCATAATTTTTTAGAGATCTAACATATCTCCCACCCATTGGTCATCTCTTTTCCATGCTAAATATTCCCAGTCTTTTTAGTCTTTCCTCATATGGAAGTTGTTCCTTACACCTAATCATTTTTGTTTTCCTTCTCTGTACCTTTCCCAAATTCGATAGATAGATATAGATGAGGTGGCCAGATCTGCCCGCACTATTCAAGATGTGTGCATATTATGACTTTATAAAGAGGCAATATGATATTTTCTCTCCTATTATCTGTTCTTTCTTAATGATTCTCTTTATTCAGTTAGCTTTTTAGATTACCACAGCATATTGAGCAGATGTTTTTAGGGAACTGTCCACAATGATTCCAAGATCTCTGAGTGATAGCAGCTAATTTAGACCTCATCATTTTGGATGTATAGTTGGGATTATATTTTGCCATGTGCAATACTTTGCATTTATCAACACTGAATTCCATCTGTCATTGTGTTACCCAATCACCCAGCTTTGTGAAATTCCTTTGTAATTAATTAGAGTCAGCTTTGGACTTAACTATTTTGAGTAGTATGAATGTATGAATCAGTTGAACAGCCCTGGTCTCCATACAGATCCCTGGAGCACACCAGTATTTTATTATTAACCTTTGTACCCTGTCTTTTAAGTGGAGTACCTGGCAATGTTTTAATGCCTTCAGTTACTTGAATGGCAACCTTTTTGTTATCTTAATCATCCTGCCTCCCTCTGTTTATAAACAAACTCCCCGCCCCAGAAGCAAAGCTGGGAGTAGCACATGCTCTGTTGCAGCTAAGAGCTGTGTCTGGAGCTGGGGCGTGCACAGTAAGCAGGCCTTCAGTATGAAATTCAGAGGTTCAAACTTCTGTAGGGGCTACAGACCCCTTAGCGTGGCCCCCAAATGGCCCCCAAAGATGTAGACTGCAGAAATAAGAGACACTGAGTCCTACTGGAAATGTGGCAGATAAGATTTGAAG